TAGTTTTAAGCTACTACTGCCATCAATATTTAATAAACATAAACTTTCAAGCAGTTCAAATGACAAATTATTTTACAAACGTGTGCATTGTCTTTACTGACTATTCTTACATATGCGTCATCGTAAATCATTTTAATTCCATTCAAGTTTTTAATATGAAAAGACTGATGGATGCATGGCTGTTTCCAGCATAGTTTATTTCGTACCGGTTTGAACAACAAAATTACTTGACTAAATTAGTTTATACATAGCCTATTCATCTTTGAAAAAGAACAGCCTACACCAAATTATTACTGTGGTGAACTGACCAATGGCAGCTTACTGATGGATGCACACCTACCCAACTGTTCATTGGCGCTGGTGCCGTTTTTGGTGACTTTTTGCTCTTGAATCCATCTGCTGGCCTTAATATATGTGTTCTTTGTGCAAAGTGAAAGTGAAAAACGTGTTGATTTCACACAGACTGGCATCTTCCAGCAGCGCGCTTAAGCTGAAGTGCATTGGTTTCTCATTGTGAATTGTGAAAATTATCTGTCAAATGAAAGTGAACGAGTATTTTTACCGATTCTTTCACAGTCGGAGTGAAATTTGGGTTAGCTGCATGTTAAAACTTGTAACTGATGTGGAGCTGAAATGACTCATGACTCAAAATCATCCAAACTCCGTTTATACCGAGGGTTTGCAGTCCAATGAACCGATTAAAGTTAATTAAAAAGCTCATGATACCACAATTTAAAATTCTGTTAATGCATTGTTTCACTTCTTCATTACAGCAAATTTCTAAATAACTTTGGCAGTGTTGGGTAAGTTACTCTAAAAAGCAATGAATTACTAGCTACTAATCTTCAACAGTGTAATTACATTACTGTGCTAATTACTCTCTTAAAGTATTGCATTAGGCTACTTGTTACTAATTATTTTCTAAATCCCATATCAACCTCGACAATACAAGGATAGACATGAAATTAAGAGTACTCCTTTACGTTTTCAAAGGAAAAGTAATTAAATAGCAGTAAATAATTACTTAATGCATTACACCCAACACTGGCTGTTACATTGCAATGCAGCACATGCTTTTAGTCCAGGCTGTAACCAAATGTGTTTATGTTGCCAGGTTTTATAAACAACTTTGAAATTTTTGGTTGGATTTTAGGTCATATATTATAAGACAGTATATTGGTAGTAATTAAGTATGATTGCTTCGTGCTATTTTACAGTATAGAGATGTTTTTTACAGTATGATGATGTTTCTCTCAAATCTAAAGCTTTGGTTTGACTATTCATAATTCTATTTTAGATAGTCACTATTGAATTATGATGAGTTGCAATCCTAATTAGAATAAAACCATTTTGACTAGTTGGTCTCTCTATTGTAAAAATCAGGGTATTATGGAATACAGTATACAATTCATTGACACACGGCACAGAATGACAAAGGCAATTCATATGCTGGTTTGGGGTCCATCCCTAGCCTTACAAAAGCTGTTTTATTATGGTGGATAGATGACTGGATAGGAGCGATCCATCGCTATGACCGACTAAAGGAGAAGAATGAGGAAGTGATTATGTGTAGGCACGTAATAGACAGGCACATCATTAAGATCATGAAGTGGCAGCTTTTATATTGGGATCTTGAGAAAGAAAAGGACATGAAGGTATTGGTTTCATCTTTTGCGAGTTGCACTGTTGAGTTTTGTGGGCATTGTTGTTTAAATCACAACCTTGTAACATGACCTGCATGTAACAAGGTTTGAAATGTTCCACAACACAGAAAAACTCACTTTGAAATGATTAAACACTACATGTTACAGAAAATAGGATTTTTGTAGTTTATTTTTGTGACATATTTCAGCCACTGGGTCTAAACCTCATTGCAATGTGTCCTTTGCATTGTGCCATGGCAAGCTGAATTATTGAATTTGAATGCTGGGACTTATTTATGCAGAAGAGTTTTACCATTTAAATTGGCATTTTAACACATCTCCATTAAAGAAAACTCTGCACCAAAATGCATGTACAGTCCACATGTTCAAACTGAAGCTTTTCCTAAGCTCAGAAGACTTGAGCATGAACAGTGTTTCTCTCAGATGTTTTTCTCCTAAAACTCCTAGAAAGTTCTGAGAGAAAAGGAGTCAAATCTGAGAATGCAGTGAGAAATGAGATTATTTAACAACTGTAACACAAGTGTACCAGTGTTTCATTGCTGCATAACCTTATAGATTTGTTTGTTTAGCATGCATAGTTTCTCTTGCAAACCCCATTTTGCAGTCAAATATAGGTCATGTTTTCCTCTGTTAAATCACTGTGTAAAATACACTGTTTATGCTCAACAATGTCAAATAAGCAGTTTATGTGCAGAGGGCACATAATATGTTCTCTGAGTCAAATTGAAAAAAACCCTGCTTTCTACAATTATCTAACTCAGTTTTGGATTAATTGGACGGCTACAAGATGTCCGGTCAGAACATTAGGTCTCACACCAGGAATGATATTTGTCTTGGAAGGAAAGTTAAGATCTCTTGTAAAACATTAGAGAAGACAAATGTGAGAACATTAGAGTCTGTAAAAATCTGAGAACATTGTGATGTTGTTGAGATCTTTCCTGAAACTTTAGAGGAGACAAATGTGTGCATTATAGGGTATTTTTTCTCAAGAGAAAAATGTGAGAAGCAGGAGATTCCATTGGATGTTCAGGTAACCAAATTTCTGTCAAGGAGAAACACTAGAGATATTAAAGAGATCTCAGCTGGCATGCACTCTTTTACTGGTGCTAAAAATCTCTTGGTGTTAATGTTCTTCAGTGCACAAAGCATAACAACAATTCATGTCATCAGAAGCATCCATGCAAAGACAAAAAGACTCAAGAACAGCTTTTTCCCACGGGCCTTCAAGCTTCTCAAACGATCTTCCTGGAGTGACTCATTCTCAGCAGACTTGCCAGAATTTTCCACACTTGTCTATTTTAATGCATATGTTTCTTGTCTGTGCACACTGACACTTATTGAATATAATCCATTTTATGCTTTTTTTATACTATGAAAACCAACTAGCTTTCTACCTTGAAATAATGTAAATATTTATTGCCTGGGTAAAATGTGAAGTAGCCTACTGTAAATGCTTTGATCAGGCCAAGTCCTGTGACATGATTGTGCACCAAAGCTCCTGGACAGTTTATATTTCATCTGTACTCCTTTTAAATGGAAGTTCCAACAAATCAAAGAGTCTCAAAACCATTTAAAAAGGATATTGAAAAAGACTATATTTTATATATTGAACACTTGAACAACACTAACACATTCACACATAACATGCTCATATATCATATAGACAACACAATACTTGCAAATGCACATTTTAACCTCTCTCTCTCTCTCTCTCTCTCTCTCTCTCTCTCTCACACAC